AGCCAGGCATCATGGCAGGGTCCTGTAATCCCAGTTATTCAGCAGGCTGAGGCAAGAGAATTGCTTGAACCCAGGAGGCAGGGTTGCAGTGAGCTGAGATTGTTCCATTGCACTCCAGTCTGTGTGACACAGCGAGACTCCATCTCAAACAAAAGGAAAATTTAGAACTTCATAATAGTATAAAAGGATGGATGGCAAGCACCACAAACAATTTAAAAACGTAATCTAAATAATTTTTGTAAATCTGAGAATAAATGCAAAAATAGAAAATGACTCTTAAGCTAAATTAATAAAGACCAAGAAGTTGTTGAACACTGGCAGGAAGGTGGCAAGGGAGAAATATGCATTGTCTTAAGTGGAGAAACCCAAGAGTGCTATTTCAGTGTTGACGCTTGTATTTAGAAGAATTGAGATTAAACAGTCCTTTGAAACAGCATGAAGAAATTCAGCTTCCCAACACTACAGAAGATACAAGGGGAGAAAACAAAGGAGAACAGCCATAATGGTTAAAAGTGAAGGCGTTAATCAGAATGACATAAGGAAAAAAATACAGTGATAGTGGTGCACACTGTATTTTTTACAGTGGATTAGGGTTAGGGCTTCCAACCACTGTCTTACAAGAACCTAGACTCTGCTTTTACACTTAATTCAAAATATAGGAGAAACACCAGATCAAAGGGCAGCAAATGTTTAAATAATAAGAAGATGATTCAAAGTGCAGCAGCAAAAGACTATCAGGCAAATTTCACACAGCTGTTAGAAAAAGCAACAGTATTCATACCTAAGAAAGTGAATTGGAGAAAGAAAAGCATTAATCCTGACCAAAGGTAAAAATCATGGTGAGAATACAGAAGTTATGAGACAGACTCCATGGTAATGGATGGAACTCTTACCGTTAACTCTGATGTCACTGCCATTTGCGTCCCCATGTTGTAGGTGAGAGAACCGAGGTGCCGTGAAGCTTAGGTAGTTTGCCCAAGGTCACTTACCAGGGAGGTGATAGTCTAGGGTCCAAACTCAGGTGGTCTGGCCCTGGACCAACCACTGTCTCTGTTTCGTTCTCTTTCCCTCTACTTTCCCTTTCTTGTTTCTTCCCTTTCTCTCTCATTGATATGGTACAGGGCTTCTGCTTGATGGCTTTTAAAAGTCATTACCACAGAGATTCTAGAGCTCAGTTTTTATAGCTAGAGTCAAATAAGCAGTTCAAAAAGAAAAAGTTTATTTCTTTCTCTCATTAAAAATATCTGGAGAAAAGCAACCCAGGCCGGGTAAGTGGCTCTTTGATGTCATCAGAAACCCAGGCCCTTCCATCTTTTTTTTTTTTTTTGAGACAGGTTCTGACTCCTCTCTCCCCAGGCTGGGGTGCAGTGGCATAGTCACAGCTCGCTACAACCTTGACCTCCTGGGCTCAGGTGATTCTCCTACTTCAGCCTCCCGAGTAGCTGGGACTATACGGGTGCATACCACCACACCCAACTTTTTTTTTTTTTTAATTTTTAGTAGAGATGAGGTGTCCCATGTTTCCCAGGCTAGTCTCAAACTCCTAGTCTCAAGGGATCTGCCTGCCTCAGCCTCCCAAAGTACTGAGATTACAGGCATGAGCCACCATGCCTGCCTCCCTTTCTATTTTTAATGTGTGGTTTCCATGCTCAGCATCTCAAGATGGCTACTGTGGTTCCAGTCATTCCATTTGCAAGAAGCAAGATAGAGGAAGGACTAGAGCTCGATGACTTTTCTCATTGCCTCATCCAAGGACTCCTGCTTATGTCTCTTGGCCACCTCTTAGGTCATGAGTTCAGAAATGCAGTTTTTAGCTGAGCGTATTTTCCAAGAATCTGTTAATAAGAAAGAAAGGAAGACGTAATACTGGGTAGGCAGCCAGCAGTCCTAGCCACCACGAGTTATTGCTGAGTGATGCTGGCACTGTGCACTCGCAAATCAGTGTGATTGAAAAGTTAATCTGCTGCTCTCCACTCAACAGTTAGTGGCACTTTAGTTCGTGGCAGAGAACCCTCAGTTTGGATAGCCAGTCCTCGTGGCACTTCATTAAATATACCCAAGTCCTTGAGTTAAAGACTATTCTCTCCCTTGCCTTTTTCCTTTTCAGGGCTGGTGACCTCTCTTGACCTATAGGAGTGTCTGGGTGTAAGAAACTCTTGGTAGCTTCTTCTAAATGTCTGCCTACAAACTCCTCTTAATGTTGAAATCTGCTGTTCACTGAAAGAAAACAGTATGTGATGAACCTTTCAGAAAAGAAGCTTCTTTTTGCTTTTCAGGACTGGATAGCTCTGTGGCCCCATAGGCACATATGGAGGAAGGAAACTTCTTGTACAGGCTTCTTCCCAGTGTCTCTATACAAATTCTTTTTCTACTAAAAGCTTCCATTCAATTAAAGAACACAGCAAATGATGAACTGGTTACAAAGTAACTGTCGTTTTCCATAGATCACATTCTAATGTATTCAGTTCTCCTAAACTCTGTGCAGACAAATTTATTTGGCTTTGGAATTTATAATTCTAGCTTAACTTTTGCCTATTTTGTGAAAATGCCATAACCCCCTTGGGTTTTCTTTAATTGCCCTTATTCTTTATAGTAGAGAAGCGTGCAAAAACAACTCTACACATTTAAGTGCACACAAGAATTATGTGGATTATCAGACTGCAGTTACATTTCAAGATTGTAGTGAACTATTTTCAATTTGGACCTTATTTCTTTTTCTCCTCTTCCTTTTATTTTTTGCCTAAACACCCACTATTTGGAATGATAACTCATTGAAACTTTTATAAATTAAGTAGCTCTCAATTTGTTCTTTCGCACTCCACTTTCTGCGAAGGCTTCTTTGTGATTTGTTAAATCATGACTTATTAAATTGATGTAATGTTACCCAAATTTTATTTTCTTTTATGCTACAATGCTCCTTGTAGTTCCAGTGAGGTTTCAAAACCCTGAAGCACAGTATTCAGTATTGTGCATGTCAAACCTTTTGCCAAAGCCTTCAGCGGGCTGCTTTGTAATAACTGTGAATATAATGGTAATAACATTTCAGTGGGGTATTGCTAAACGAGTGATATTGCTAATAAGAAAACTTTTCCTCCACAATTTTGGTTACAGTAAATGACCACTATTTATTGAGTTGTTCCTTTCTGCTAAACATAATATCACTGCAGCCTCTTACTGAAGAGAATTCTCTCTCCATTCAGCTTTAAACATTGGTTCTGTTTTGCTCTGTTTTATTTTAATTTAATCTAGTTTGAAATTGCATTAAATACATCGTGATAGCGTACTAAGGTTTTACGATTCTGTTGAGGAAGTCTATAACCAAAAGTTTCCCGTCAACTGGAGTTTAGTCAGCCCCATGCATTTAAGCACCAGCCAGCATTTGCCTGCTTATCAAAGGAGAAAGGACTTCTCTGCCCCAATATCCATCTGGACTGCAAGTGAACTTGTTGCCTGCCATAGCTCTAAGACTATTCATGTCTCACAGCCCTGAGGAATTAGACCCTGAATGCAGCAGGCCAATTGATATTGGTCTTCCACCAAAGGCCTCAGGCTGCCTCTAAGCTGCCCCTCTGCTTGCCCCCTTTTCCTTCTCATAATCTCCAGCTGGCAGCCAATTAAAAATCAGAGGGACCAAGTGGTGGCCCATTTGGGGAAACTCAGGTCACTATTCTGTTTTATTTGGTTTTTGCAATGACACTTCTTTGTCTGATTTTAATTTGAACCAATATAATAAAAAATCAGTAGTCTACATGAAAACCCAAGGACCTGGCATTTCTTGGGAAGTCAGATCTGGCCATACTGGATCCATACTCTATGTTGGCAGCAACTAGAGGGAGCTGAGTCATGGCTGAACTCTCTGGCCCGAGCTTGGACCCTCCAGTTTGCCACAGTATCCTTGACGCAGAAGACATGTATCAACTGTCATCCTCTATTGTGTTTTTACTGTTACTTTCCTTACAGTAGAGGAAAGTTTCATCTATGTCAAAAATATGAGAAAGATGGAGGGGAATAAAAAGAAGAATATTTCTCTGACAAGGCAAGGAATAGTTCCGTACTTTTCATAACTAAATGATAACCTATTTCCTTCCTGTTCTTTACTGCTTAGCCCCTCTCTACCCTTGAATTTCAACCCCAGATATAATTGTTTCTGCAGCAGATTATTTTGCCAAAAATGGCTGCCACATCCAATTCAGTTCCATGTCCTCTTCCAGAGTCTTGCCCCTTCTACTTGAAGAGGTGGAGTCTCTTCCCCTAATCATGGGCAGGCTTTTATGGCTGCTTCCATGAATCAAATATGGTGGAAAAGTCACTGCTCAACTTCCAAGACTAGGTCAGAAAAGAACATGGACCTGTCTGTATTGGCTGTCTCTTTCTCAGAACACTTGCCTTTGCAACCCAGTCACCATGTTATGAGGAAGCCCAAGCCACATGGAGAGGCTGCATGTAGGTGTCCTGGCCAACAGCCCCAGCTCAGATTCAGCCCTTAGCCAACATCAACTGCAAGGCAAATCATGACGATTTGTTGTCACATTTGAATACCCAGCATATTTTCCAAGGGAAAGAAAAAGGATTGAGATAGTTTTAACTATCTTCAGATGATTTCTAAACCCCCTGAGTCACCCCTAGCCTTTGAGTCTTCCTAGTTGAGGCCCCAGACACTGTGGAACAGAAACAAATCATTCCCCACCTTGCCCTATCTGAATTACTGTCCTGTATAACCTGGGAGCCTAACGATTGATTTTTACCATTGAGTTTTGAAATAATCTGTGACACAGCCTTACATAACCAGAGCAACTTCCTCTGAGAACTGTTTCAGGTAGGAGCTTATTCTGCCTGGTTTTTTAATTTCTTTTTCTTACCTCAATTAAAATCTGATTGATTGTATCTGGGGACAGAAAAAGACATACTGAACATGGCTATGTCTACTTTTTTTTTTTTTTTAACCATGTCAGCACTTTATCTATTACCACTGAAATAAGCATTTCTCCAACATACTTCAGGTCCCATGCCCTACAGGGGCCGATATTAGTCAACACCTGACAGACAGAGAGGTTCCCAACAGCAGTCAGCGGCGGTACACAGGGAAAGTTCCTTGCAACCATTTCATTCTCAACGAGGAAGAGGATTGCTTTAAAGCGCTGACTTGGATAAGGAATAACTTCATCACCACAGAAGGTAAGGATGTCGGTAACTGTGCATCTCTTCAGAATAGCGTTTTATTTTTATAATGAGTCTCATTCTTCATCTAGTTCCAGTATATAATTAGTGCCTAATTAATTCCAACCAAATCATTCATCTGTCATGCTTTGTTTTCCAGATTAATTTACAACTTGTTGTCATTTTTGGATACCCAGCATGTTTGCTGCGGGAAAGAAAAAGGCTTGAGATAGTTTAATTATCTATAATTATTTTATTATACAAAATGAATATCCAAAGAGCAAAGCATGGCTAAAATCATTAACTAATTAAAGAATAATTTAATAAGCAAACATGTTTAGCAATTATATGGAAAATATGTCTTCTTTTGTGAAGCTGAAAAGACCTAGGAGGAAAAAGGCCTGTATTGGAAGGGCCTTTTCTTCTTTTCACAAGCCATTGTTCCCTTTCTTGGTGTTGCCTGTGCAGTCCTTCCCACACATACACAGACTCGAATTGCATGCCACTTTTTAACTCGACATGAAAAAGTAAAACATTTGTGCAAATGCCCGTACCACTCGAAAGTGTATTCTCCAGCATCTTTCTCCCTATTGCTTGAATTTCATTGACATCATTCAGTTAGTAAAACAACCAGAATAGGGCCTGGCTACCTTTGTGTCTTTAATGGAAACCTACAAGTCCAGGTTTGGAGATGACCTACAACAGCCCCTTTCTTTTGCCCAAAAGTGAGACACGGTTAGTGGCCTGGTTGAGTCTAGAGTTCAGTCCAGGGATGTAAAACCACTACGTGCCCAGAAAGTGGGCATCACTGTGTAAAATTAAACATGTTAATTTATTTAATACATGTCTGTAAATATGTCTAATAATATTTGTTAATATAATTAATACATTAAAATTAAATATAATTTCTTCTGATTTTTGGTGAACCATTTTAGTTATTAACTTTTGCAAGTTATTACATTTACTACATTAAAAAGCTACTAATTTACTACATTCAACATTTTAAAATGAGTATAAAATGGCATTCAATACGTTACTGTATTCAATTTGCTGATACTATTCATAGGCTGTTTGCCTTTAAATTCATAAATAGGATTGACCTGTAGTTTTCTCTTTTATGCTTAGCTTGTCAGGCTTTTGGAATCAAGGGTATGCTAGTCTCACAAAGCATTTTTGGAAGCTTTCTATATTCTTTGGGGATCTGAAATACAAAGTAACTTAAAGGTTGGACAGAAATCACCCATAAAACCAACTGAGTCTGGACCCTTTGGGTAGAGGTGGGATATATAGATAGATTATACTGGCAACCCAGAGTTTTTAAATGTCATAAAGTATTTCATACTTTCATCAAAGCTTGGAATTATTATCAGTTTTGCATGTATGTATGTTTAAACCTGTTTTAACCTTTTAGTCATTCTGTAATCACTATCCCATGATCTATGTCGACTAAGGGAATTTTCAAATCAGGGACAATTCTCTAATCTGTGGATTGGTGAATTGTTACTGCAAAATACCAGTTAGTAAATATTTTAGACTTGGGTGAGCATGGTAGCTAACACCTGTAATCCCAGCACTTTGGGGGGCTGAGGTGGAAGGATCACCTGAGCCCAGGAGTTTGAGATCAGCCTGGGCAACACGGAAAAACCCCACCTCTACAAAAAAAACCAAAAAAAAAAAAAAAAAAAGCTGGGCATGGTGGTGTACACCTATAGTCCCAGCTACTCGGGAGGCTGAAGTGGAAGGATCAATTGAGCTTGGGAAGTCAAGTCTGCAGTGAGCCATGATTGTGCCACTGTGCTCCAGCCTCAGTGACAGAACAAGACCTTATCTTAAAAAAAATTTTTTTTAGACTTTGTAGGCCATATGGTCTCTGTTGTAACTCTTCAACTCTGCCCTTTTAGTGAGCAAGTAACTACAGGCAATATGTAAATGAACCGGCATGGTTGTGTTCCGGTAAAACTGACTGACAAAGCCAGACGATGAGCCGCAGCTTGCAGTAACCTGCTTTTAGCCAGAACATTTTTGACAAATCATTACCGTTTCATCAAGTCCAGACTTCCACATGTACCATAAGTTCCCCAAAAGCACAAAAGCCAGTGGTTCAATACAAAAGGCACAGTACGTCTTTAAGACTGCACCCAATCCTGTTAGCCTGCAGTGCTTTAACTTTGAACCTTTGGCTGTTTTGGGTGTTTGGACTAGGGAGCATTTGACCAAGAAAAAAGCGTTTGAAACTGGCACTGCAAGGTCTTAAGGTGGAATGTTGATGGCAGAGAATTTAGAAACCCCAGAGCAAGAAGCACCACGGTCTCTTTCGAGTGCCTTCCATTGTCCTTTTGGTCCTCAGACGCGGGAAGAGCATCAGTGCTATTCTGTTGACTTGGCCAGTTGTCAGAGATGGTGATGCTGTGGCGCCCCCTTAAAGGGAAGTGCTTTTTCAAGATGTAAGACTGTGTCCCAGCAGCCAGTGCATAAAGCCATTTGGAGTGCCTGCTTTTGTCCACTGACTAGCCAGGATAAGAAGTATGTGGAAATTAGTCTTACATGGTGATTTTCTCACATGTAGGTCTTACCTGTAGGTGATTTTTGCCAGGTCTGGTGCTTAATGACTCCCCCGGGCACCTCCCAGGTAAGTGCTCTTAACACTCAGATGCTGGGACCAAGATCTGGGAGCCTTCAGGGAAGCCTGACCTGGCCAGGTTAATTTAACTTTGTGTACAGACCCTTTTCAAGTGAATTCTTAAGTAAGAAAAGTTAAGAAAAAATGTTGACATCTTGCCTTAAGAAAACTTTCTCTTGGTATCTTTTCTGTAATTCAGTCATAGTCAGACAGGACTTTTGTCCCATTCAGATCTTATTCTTGCCATTATTATTCCTGTAGCATCACTGGATCACAGTCCAAATCTCAGAGCATAGCAGGCCTAAGACAGAAAGCCCATCCCCACCTGAGCCAAGAACCAACAACCACAGACAGAATTCTACTCACAGAGGCTCCCAGGAAATGCAGCAATGAGTAGACTCCAGCATGAGAGGGAGACCTCGAGGTAGAGCCTCCTAAATCCACCATTGGCTTCCCTGGCAGGCTGAAATATGTGTAGCAGGGATGGCATTCCATGTAGAAATACACTTTCATTCCAAATCGCTTCAGTCACCTCGTGACCTCTAGTTCTTAAGTGAGACTTTGGGTATATGACACGTGAGCTTCATTACTGGGCTTTCAAATCCCTTTTCATACTGTGGAAAACCTAGTGGTCTTTCCAGAACTGCATTTTGAAAAGAAAAAGCTATTACAGCATTGTTTCTGAGACATCTACAGTACCATACTTGGCCGAAGCTCCAAGCCATTTCTTTGATAATTTCAGCTCTGCTTCACCTCAATGTCACTTGTATCCAGCATACTGCCTGGCACCTAGTACATGCACAATAAATGTTTTCGTGAATGTAAGTGAAGACAGTTCAGGATGTAACTCTTTTCCTTACCCCCACAGGATGAGTTTTATCAAAACTTTTTGCATTCAGTCTAACCTAAAAATAGATGGCCAAGTGAGATGAAGATAAGAGAACCCTTGAACGAAATTGATGGTATTCTTTACAAAGTCATCCTTGGTAATGAGAGTAATAACATGCTGGCGAAACAGGATGACCTAAGTTCTTTATCACAAATAACAGACCTTTATAAGGCAGTCTAGCTCAGGTTCTGGAATCACATGACTTGGGTTCAAATCTTGGGTCTGCCGTTTGCCTGGGCAAGTTACTTAACTGGTTTATGTCTCAGATTCCAGATAATATCTACCTCATATGGGTTCCTGTGAGGGTAAAAAGAGATAAATGAGAGCACATGCCATACTCAGGACAGTCTCTCATACATATAAAGAGTTTTATAAATAGAGGCTGCCATTAGCATTGCTCTTACTACTACGTGTGATGGATTAAAGGTACCCCACAGTAGAAGTCTCAGCCCCTGCCACCAGGGCTCTGATGAAGTTGAGGATATCGTCTCTATTTAAAGACAAGGATCCTTGTACACCAGGTGCCAGTCAACTATGCAGGCACTGTGGCCTTCAGGAAAGCCCTGGAGGCTGTAAAGTTTGGAGAAGGCCTCTCCAAGAAAGGAGGGTTTGAGCTTAGCCTTGAAGAGGGACAGGATAAACAGGGAGAACAGCTGGGGGAGTTTGGATTGTGTCCAAAAGACACTGTGCCAACAACATGGGCTGGGCAGAGTCTCTGAAGGGCAGCAGCAGCAGATGAAGCTGGAGGCGTGGGCAGGGACAGGCTCTGACTGGCTGCAAGTACCCAGCCACATCCATGTTTAACTGGTTACCTTTTAGGAATGGGACCTGACCAGACGGGGACCGCTGTGCACACGTAGCACTTTGGGAAAATGGCCTTTCCATCTGTAGTACCCATGCCAGCAGAGAGAAGGGTGACCACGGGAGAATGGCTTACCGTGGATGGCCGCAGCCGATCGGGCGAGGCAGCTGTGGATGCAGGAGCTGGCTGGAAGTGGCCACCCCTGCTGCATTTGGTGGTCTTGATGGCACAGTTACTTCTAGTTTATTTCCAAGTCAGCTGTGAGATGGTGCTGTTGCAGGGCTTTTCCTTAGTTCAGCTAAAGACAGGGTCCTTGTCCGTCCCGTGGCCACAAAAATGTAGGCTTGCAGACAGTTCGAAGGGTGAATAAAGCAGGGTTTTATTGGGTGAAAGGAAAAAGCAAAGGGCGGCAGGGGTGGGAAGCAGGATCCTCCGCAAGGCCAGAGTCCCTGCTAGAGTGCTTCCCGCTGGCTGCTGGAATCCCGAGTTCCACACAGGAGGAGGAGGGGCCGGGCTCCTCCCCACTGCAAATGGCATGGACTTCCTGAGGCTCCACCCCAGTGTGCAGGTTGTTTGGAGTTTTTCTGGGGACCCCCTCCCACGTGGCTGTCTCATTGGCATTTGAAGATAGAAGCTAGAAGTCTGGCGCGTGATGGAAAGCAAGGAGCACGGCTGTGTTCCTGCACATTTGGAAGGTCACACAGAGC